ACACACACACACACACACACACACACACACACACACACACGAGTTCTCCTGCACCAGGCATTCACTAATGCCCAGCATCCCTGACTAGCCATCTCCACTAACACTTCCCTGCCGTGTACTTGGGGGGAAATCTCACACACACATACACACACACACACACACTTCAGCCCATGGTCTCCGTCACCTCATTCTCTTCCTCTCGTGTAATTCTCTCTCTCTCCTGCGCCCGCAGCGAGTGCCGGAGCTCCCACAGGCCATGATTAATGTGATTGGAGCTGCTTTCCTCTTCTTGTTTGTGCGTTCCCAGGAAGCCGTAGGGGAGTCGTGGCACAAGGGGGAGACGATTCAGCGAGGCCCCCCCCCCCACCCCTCCGCCAACCCCACCCCTCCGATTGTTTCCGGATTCTTCAAGGAAGGGGCTCATTAGCGGGGTATTAATATCACCTAGGGCTGGACTAACACAACTAACAGGAGAGTCTGCAGATAAAGCCTGCCTCAGCGTGAGGCCTCGGATATATCTGCACACTTTTATCTGCACTGAGCAGCCCGCCTCACTGAGCGAGAGGTGCTGACTGCCAGGAATACAACACACACACACACACACACACACACACACACACATTACAGTCCACATGTCCACTTGCACATCTGCAGCTCAGGTTCCATGTGGGGCTGCAATGTGGAAACATGGCGTAAAGATAAACTCTAAACAAATCAATGGCGATGCACGTGGATCCCGACACTCCAGTGTGTTAGCAGGCTTACGCATTAGTCTGGATCACCTGGAGTGATTCATAGGCAAACCGTTTCAAGAGGAGAGAAGATGCTATCGCCGTTATAAAGGTGCACAGCTGTAACGACATATCGGAGAATATTTGGTGAGTAATGTTTGTGTTCCAGAGGAGTCCAGGCTCACAGGAGAGGGGGAGAGACTGAGTCAGCACTCAGCACTCATCCTCCTCCTCCTCCTCCTCCTCCTCCTCCCTGCATTGTTGTCACCGGCATATAGGAACTGGCTTCTGGTGAATTGCACACATTATAGGCATCCTATTTCAGCTGAAAGCCTTTCAGAGTCTCCCAGTGAAGTGGATATGAGGGAAAAGTCTCAGTATATATCAAAAGTAGAGTAATACCAGACAGCTATTATGGTTACAACTTGAAATGGATACCGTACTGTCTGGGTTGGAAATGAGAAATATGGAGCAATAATCTCTCAGTCTGATGTGGTGTAAATTGTTCGCGTCCGATGGAGTCAGCTAGAGCAGCTAGTCCCGTTCTAGTCCCACGGCCGAGCTCAAAGCCCCTCAACAGACTCCAGTAAATGTGTCCATGTGATTTCAGTGGATATCATTGAATATCATTACTATCAATATTGTTTTTTTTTTTCATACAATTGACTTGCCAGCGTTTAGGCCAGTTCAGTGCAGGCGGCAACCGGGTCTGCAAAAGTGAAGCCAATGCTGAAGTGCCTCACTCTTGCATTCACTCTACTGGGCATCAGGGGGCGATCCCTCCGGTTGCAAAAAGAAGTCCGATTGTGTAGAATTCTATGAGAAGATGATACGACTTCTCACGAAACTTTTCACTTTTGACAATGGCTGAAATGCCGAACTCAAGGCTTCAAAACCGTAGTCCACGAACCAATGAGTGACATGACTACGTCCACTTCTTATATACAGTCCAAGCTCGCACTTTCATTACTACCACTTAGAGAGAGCTGGCTGTTTCAACCTTTACTGTTAGCTAACTCAATTGAATGTTTACACACTACCTATAGTTGTGTGTACTATATTGCATTTGGCCCTTATTGGTTAAATGAACACAGGCCCAAGTGTCTGTAGCCCTTAAATGATCTGAACATTTAGCTCCACATCCACTGTGGACATGAAGCATTCAAACACAGCGATCACAGCTCGTTACAACATAACAGAGTTTCAGGTAAAGCTCAGTGGCTTTCAGTCTGATCTTTAAATCTCACTAATCAGTTCAGCTCAGTGCGCCTATTTAGCAAATCCACCGCTTCAGGAATGTCGACATGACATTAACGAGATCAACAAAATCCCCAAATATTAAAAAAATACATGTGTTTTTAGCACAAAGGTAAAGATCTCCTGCGTGGTAAAAGCTAGAACTGTCAGCACTAAACGCTGATGCTAACTCACTGAAATAGACGGGTAAGCCGTGTAGATCGGAGTCTAATTTAAAACGAGACATTAGTTGTTTGTGCGTCGACGTTAGTGAGACGCTTGTGGGGAAAATGGATTTCACACTTCTCACTCAGAGCTCTGTGGATCCTGAAGCATTCGGAGCTGTGAAAAGTTATTAAAGCTCGGTGTCTCTCTGATTTGACAGAGAGGACACGGTCTGATCCGTGGGTCTGAAGTGACTACATGACGTATTTTTAAAGTGGGATGGAAAACAGGTGTAAAAGAATACCTGATATATCCCCTAAGAAGGTGCAATGAGGGACACATTGTCTGCATTGGGAGGAGAACGAAGATCTGATAAATGGTTCTTTGGTTCAAGAGATAATGTGAGATTTGTAACCGAATTATGAATAATTACGAAGCATATCATTGTCGCATTCTTGTCTAAAGTTAAGTGAGAAGATTAACTCTCTCATGTTTGAATGGTAAATATACCAATACGTAACAGTTTCCCCTTGTTCTGTCTTTATGCTAAGCTAAGCTAATCAGCTGCTGGCACATCGAGCTAGAAAACAGCTGAATCTAACTTAAATTATTTATTTTTGCTTTTAAAGGTTAATTTATCGCAGCATCAATGTAGCTTTGATCATCATTAAGTCAAACTCAATCACGCATGCAAGCATCTGTAATTTAAATGGTCATTGAAACCGCAGATTGGGCCTTTTGAGGACTTCTATAATTCAAATGAAACAAATGACTCGATGAATAACGACTTTGATGACACGTTACAGCATTCGTAAACGGGACTCGTTTAATGTTTAAAAGCTCAAATGTCGCCGACATGTTTGAATGGATTAATAAGTCATAAAAATGCAGAGACTTAATTAGCGCTCTTGAAACTGAAGCAACAGTTTGGAAGTGATTTGATCTGATGCTTGTGAGACAACAAAAAACGCGAGTGTGTTGTTGAACACATAATGTTGCAGGCACACAAAGAGATCTGTGGTATTAGACTTTGAGCACGTGTCGAGTGTGTGGCGACACACAACTCATGCACTCTGCACTACATCTCCTCTACTCGTGGTCAGATCCATCACATTTCTGTCTCAACCTACTTCCCCCTCTTCATTTCTAGCAGAGGGGTCGCAGGGTGATGGATGTCTCCTCCACACTCTCCTCTTCTCCTTCCCCTTGGGCTCGCTCTTCACACCCTTCCCTCTCCGTCTCTCTCTCCCCCGTCTCCCCTTCTCATTGTTCCTCTCCTCTCTTTCTCCTCAGTAACCGGTAAAAATAGAGCTTCATAAATCATGCATCTTCTCTCAAAGCAGAGCGTGAAGAACGAGAGGAAACGAGGAAAAACAAATGAGGGGGCGGGGGGGTGAAAGAGAGAGAAGGATGTTGAGGATGAGCTGCAGGGACGGAGGTGGATGGCATCAAACTGCAGGAGAGGGGTGGGAAGTTGACAGGGGAATAGATTGAAGCTGCAGGGCTCTTGGCTGCCCTCTCTCCGTCTCTCAGAACATTGGTGGATTCACGCTGGAGTTGCTCCGGTTGGAAGGAAAATGAGTGTTAACATGCAGGGGAGCGGGCTGGCGGACGACGAGCGGTCATCTCCCCGGAAGACTTACTCGTTTCAAGTCGACACACTTTTACTGGGATGGAGTCCATCCGTTTGTCCCCCTCGGTGGCAGTAAATGGGGGTCTGCACGGGAGGAGAAGTGAGAGGATGGCGACCGCAGCTTTTACAATCACAGGAGCACTAAACAAGACTGTTTGGTGCTCCATAGGTCCATTTACATTGCTGTACTAAATATTGAATTATCACAAAATGATTACCACGGTTTCCACTTAACAGCCACAAGGACATATTTTAGAGGCCTGCTAGGATTTACAGGAGCAGACTCCATTACTGGAGCCACAAATCAAACTTTACATTATCGGTGCTTAACATTTCCAAAGACATGTTATTGGTAGACCTATTGGTGCAATTACCAATTTAAAATGAGTTTAGAGTGTAGAAAACCAGCAGCAACTACATACAGTAGACAATATATTTGCTCACTTTACATTTTTGTCAGTGTGTGGACAATAGAATTGTGGGCAGGGACTGTTATTATTCAAAATCCAAGTTCTCACTGAAGATTACATTAGGTTTCATTAGGTATTTATTTGTAAAATGTATATGTGTATTTTACTTTTATCATTATAGTTTTAAAAACATATTTTAAAGCCACTCTGTGTAAGATTTAAATATTTCTGGGTTTGGCGCCCCCCAGTGGTGGTATCAAACATTTTAAAAAGACAGCATGACAGCACGGCATGTTGGCAGCCCCCCCCATCCACCCGCCCACACCGAGGATCTGTTGGCAGAGTCTAGTCTGCAGTGTCGTTGCATACAATCCACTCGCTAAACTGTAGAATTACACAGAATTACAATGACCAAGTTTCACCTCTCTCCTTCTGTTGTCACTATGTGCACGTCGATTATATGGCGTTCATCTGACTGGTTTAAATATCATGAAACGTTTACATGTCAGGATCATGATGCACACTGACCCGTTCAGACAGACCACCGATGCAGCGCCATCCGTCTGAATAATTTAAAAGATGCTAGAATTACATGGAAATGCTACTTGATTTCGAATTTTAGCTTTTTTGATATAATACTTCTGTAGACACAGTCTGTAGTTCTGTAAACAGATTTTTTTTTTTTTCTTTGAGGGAGTCTGGTGCAAGATGAGCAACGTTCTACTACATGACGCATAGTCGGTTGTGTTCACTGCAAGAAGAAATTATAAATCAAGGAATATCAGAAATATTAAAACAATCTGCATTATTATTGTTCCTGCTCGATACGACTTTACCGTGTTTAATGTAAGTGACAAGAAATAAGCTAGTTGTATTTATTAATATATAGTTAATTGGCTGAAATATATTTAAAAAAACACTGCAATGGTCCTTTAATCCTCAAATTCATTCACCCGAATCCTAAACTGGTTATTTGAGGTGAAGTAATCAGGTGTTGTGTAATTTGGGTTGGTCCCCCTGGACTCCTCAGAGAGACAAAATTAGCCTTCAGGGAGACGACGTCTCCGTCCCCTCGACGACTCCGCTGAGCGACGAGTGTCTCCGCAAGATTACATTCAAACACGCAGACACACACACACACACCTGACCTCGTCACAGCAGTGCTGAATAATACAGGACAATAGCAGCTCTGATCCCGTGTGTGGAACCAGAGCCGGAGCCGTAAACACAGCGCAAAGTCATCTGCGGTGACTGGAGCTGCAGTCTTAAGTAAACCCACACAGGACTTCTTTAATTTTAGAGAAGGATCACACACACACACACACACACACACACACACACACACACACACACAC